GATGGAATTTCTTGTCCTAACATATCTGAGGGGCAGCAGATTGGGGAAAGCTATAATAAACCTTTGTGAATTATTCTGATACATTTCTAAAGTCTTCTGTGCCAAGGCCAGAGCTGTATCCTTTGAGACAATGAAGGGAGAGCCAAACAGGATGGCCTTCTTTAGGTTGAATGATGAGCTCTTTCAAAGGATGGCTTTTAGGAAATAATATTTTAAACCCTGCCTGTGAGAAGTTTGGCTACAAAAAGTATATGCAATGTCATTTTCAGGGACTGAAGAAATAGCCCCCTGTATAACTCAATCAGTAGCATTTGGCATAGCCTAAAAAGGAAACCTGATTAAACAAAACGTTTAGGCATATCATTGCAGGGAGCTTGGTGGATTTCTTGCCATCTCTGCTTTGTGGCTGCTCTGTGTAGGTACAAACAGGTTGGACTGAAATATATTGGCTGGAATACACCCATGACAATACAGAGTCTCATCTAATGCAGAATAATTATCACTACTTCAGATCCTGAAGAAGAGGCTTGTGGGGAGGGTTCTTCTCTCTTTGATTCCTCCTTGAAAGCTTTCAGACTGTTCTGTTAATTTACTTCAAACCTCACTTCTCTCAGCCCAGGCCTGAGAATGTTTGGACTAAAGCAAATGATTCTTGCTTAAAATGTCAGACGTTTTGACTTAAGTTACTCATATCAGGAGCATAGCATACTGCCACGTGCCTGCAAACCCCTCCTGTGGCATCGGCCCAGCTCCTTACCCCACCTGACTTCATCTGGCTTGATTTCATTGAGATTGAATCACTCTTATCCAGGACAACTCACTGCCTGAATTTAGAGTCAGTTATTCTCTCTCAGTCCAGCCTATCTCAAAGAAGATAGCTCTTGGAGGGAAGATGGATTATTAATCTAATAAAAAGCAGTGTGAGAATCCTTATGATGTCCTTAAAATTCCAAATGAGCCCACCAGTTCAAACATGTTGCCTGTCTTTCATCTTTACCTTAGGTCATTTTTGGGAAAGAGCCCATAAATCAGCAGGAAGACATAGCGTACAATTTTCATCCAGTGGAACTCTCAGGAACATAAGTATGAAACACATATTCCAGATACTCTTACAAGCATCTGCACAGGATAGGCTGTTTTGTCTCTCATCTGAACTTCTTGCTTTCCATTCAGCCCCATGCAGTCTGAGCTGTGCTGACTAAGGAAACAGTCCCCTGCAACTTCTTCCTCTGTAATGAAGAGTACTACCATATCCTTTTTCGGTTGTCATGCTGGTGGCACCGATCATGCATTATATTCAGAAAGCACATGGCTTATGTCAGGGGTGCCAAGGGTTTGGCTCAGGTGTTCCAAGAGACCCCCTAACATCCTTTTTATGGGTCATCCAACATGGGTAGAGCTGATAATATTTTATTTGTTTTTTTGCATTTGGGACTTTGACCCCTTAATATTTATGAAACCCCCTCCCAAAATAGGCCTTGGTTGTGCCCACTTTTGGTGTATGACTCTTGGCATGTGATGTAAAACCTGCCTTCAAACTAACAGATTTATTTATTTATATTTATTTATTCAATTTATATAACCGCCCATCTCAGACAGTGATGCATCTGTGGCTGGCTTATTGGGGGGGGCAGGGGCTTCAGACACACTTAATATGTGGTGAAACCTTTATTCATTAAGAAAGCTCACATTTTGAAGCAAATCATTTGAATTTTGAATTGATTTGAATTTTCTAGCCTAATAGGTTGGAATACAGTCCAATAATGTTCGTTGGCAGTACATTCCATGAATTAATTATGTGTTGTGTGACACTGTTTCTTTTGTCTGTCCTGAATCTCCTGCCATTGGGTGACCCCAAGTTCTTGGTATTATGGGAAAGGTGGGGGGAGGTGGAATCTGTTCTGTGCTATTCTTTAATTTTCAGTTTTACTGTGTGGCCTCTTAGGAGAACCAAAATTTCCCAGCCACAGTCCCAAGAGTGCCATTTCTGGGTGGAAGATGGCTGTTGACCCCAATTCTACTTCAGACATTTTGTGATTATTCTGCAGGAGCACAAGAATGTGTCCCACTTCATTTATTCTACATACGGGTAGTAGATTGTTATTTAAAATTAACTGGGTTTGTGTGTCAAACAAAGAAGAACCACCACCTCCATATTCCTAGGCTCTTGGAACCCAATCCACTGGAAAATACCTAGTATAAAAAATGTGAAATTTGTTAGATGAATAGACCAGAATGACAACTGTAACTGTAATAATGGAGAGCAAATAATGCTGCTCAAAAACTTGTGCTGAATCCAGATTTAGGGGCATTTGGAATCTTTCTTCTCATTACAACCCTGCGCAAACAAAGAGGTGTGCTAAACCATAGGAATGGGATCAATGAAAACTGAATTCATCAGTGAAGATTCACCCACAAAAATTGTCTTCATCCAATTTTTGGACAATGTCCCTTTGTTTTTCAACCTCCCTGCCCCCACACAATAGCCTACCCCTTTCAAAGATATCTATGTAGCACTTCAGAGGAATAGAAGGGATGCTGTGAAAAAGTGTCTAAATCTGGATCGATCTCATTCATCAGATGGTATAAAATGCAAAGGCAGCAAATGCTCCTGATGTAAACAACTATTTGCAATTCACAGTTGAATGCACCTGTCAACAGGCCTTTGAACCTTGCTGAAAATTTCTCCTCCTCCATCCACTTTTTTTTTAAATTCCCACTGGAATCTGAGCAAGACTTTTGCTTCCCTGTTTGAAAAAAAAAGAAGACTAAAAATAATGACATGCTTCACGTCTGAGAAGAATAATAGATATTTGGAACAAATGAAAAATGTAAGCCTAAGCAACAGAATTAAAGGGGGTTGACTCCTAGCAAGTAAGTTCATATAGGAATGTAGCCTAAATTCCAAATAAATGTTCAATAGTATTAACTGAACAGAAATAACCATTCATTGAACCAGTCAAGAATGTTAAGGTATCAGGCTAGAAACCGGGAGACCGTGAGTTCTACTCCCGCCTTAGGCACGAAGCCAGCTGGGTGACCTTGGGCCAGTCACTCTCTCTCAGCCCTAGAAAGGAGGCAATGGCAAAACACTTCTGAAACCTTGCCAAGAAAACTGCAGGGACTTGTCCAGACTCAAAGGTGCACACACATCATTCATCAATAAGCTATCTATTAATGCTGTTATAATTCTAAGCAGTTGCAGAAGTATGGCCTGTGCTTTGTACTCATGCCTCCAATCTTGCTTGAGATCTCACTGCAGCACACTCAGAAATAGGGAAGCCAAGTTACAGGGGAAAATGTGGGGGATACCTGAGCCATTTAGTCTGATGGTGCAGCCAGGGTTGCAGACTGGCTCCAAAGAATCACTCAGCCAGTTCCTGCCAGTGTGGTTGCAATCCTTAAAGCATTGGCGTAGAACCAGGGAGCCCGGCTAACTTAGGTCCAGTTACTCTAACTCATCCTCCCTATTTCAGAGGGTTATTTTGGTGGACAGAAATAGGAGAAGGGAGTGGTATGCACCCTTTCTTGAGCTCTTGCAAGAAAGATGGGATTCAACAAATAATAACACGGGCATGCTGGAGGCCAACGCTGCTTGTCAACAGTTTCATTTTCACTTGCAATTACTATGAACCCTTTAGCTTCGGAAGGCAGCCAGCTGCACACCGTCCTTTTCTTCTAAATGCTTATTTTTGGGATTTCACTCTTTACAATGTATTGTTCCTTCTGGAGGCCGCCGTTTGTACGATTATCCCCGAGCAGTATCTCCGGGTTTCCTCTATATATGACCAGGCAGTCCAGGATCTAAACTCATCTAGCTATTCCATTCACCATCTACCTGCCTGGAAGTCCCACCTGACCCACTTGTTAGGAGCAAAAGCAGGTGATCTCCGTCTTTAGCTGAAAGCGCCGCGGTTCCTCCCCCTCCAGACACGCCCTCGCTTCACCCGTCTTTCTCCAGCCAGCGAGCGAGGAGGCGCGTTCAGCTCGAGGAGTTTAAGGGGAAACTTTCCTAGCCCCTGATCGAGAAAAGCCCCGGAGGGAGCGGGCCGGGCAAGAATACCTCCCCTCGCCCCCCGGTCCTTCTTTCCTTCCTCGATGGCGTGCTCATCATCCCGACCTGGTCAGAGTGTTCTCCTGGGGAGAAAAGAAACCCTTTTTATGGACTGGGGTTCTGTGTGCAGCCCGGAACCTTGCAGGGCAGGCGGGAGAAATCTTTCTCGCAATCCTGCATCTTTTTTTCTTGCCTTAGACTGATCCATAAATAGCGGCCCCCAGTTTACTGAATCAGCTCGGGAGCAACCGAAAATCAAATGAAATGCACGCTTCGCAATAAACCAACCCGTTCTTCCAGAGTATCTCCACCCCTTTCGCGAAGCATTCCAGATTGCTAAAATCCATATGAATTCTGCA